GGAAACGGAGAGGACGAGCAGGAAGGCAGATGAAGAGAGAGCCGGCAGGATGAAACAGCATGGAGAAGAAAGGCGAAGACACGCTCACAGCCAGGAGGCTCCGCGAGTCGTATGCCCATCGCACGCTAAAGTCAAATACAGTACATAAGCCATGGCGCCCATGGCAAGGCAAGCGTATATAGTTACGAAGTTGCTGGAATAGCTAAGTGGAGCAAATGATTTTGCACTAAAACTGGGTGCGAAGCACGCGTCAGAAACAAGATGAAGCATAATGAAATGAGGCGGCCATGCGAGAGCCAAACCCCGCCGAGAGCACTGCGCAAGCCTAAGGCGGACACAAGAAAACTTGGGCGGCGGCCTACAGGGTTGGACAGTGCCGGGCGAGGAAACCGGCCTCGGCCTGCATGCACGCAGTGCCACTGCACCAATTGGGAGGAAGAACGAGCAGGGGCGAAAAACAGGAGGAAAGGAGGAGGGGGCAAATGCGCGCTATCGCCGAGCGTCCGAAATGCCGCAGACAGCCTGCAGACTTCAGGGCGCCAACCGAATGGCACCACGATTCCACGGAGCAGCGCGCTCTCACAAAGGCCACCGAAAACCTAGCTGCTGCACATGGGGGTGGGCGAGGAAGAGAAAGAGACGAGAGGGGGGGCCTCAATTCCCGTCCGCTGGGAGTGAAAGCGGCAACTGCCCACACACGCCGGTCCCGGCCTCACGCTGCAGGTGCCCGCCATGCCGCCCCACGCCGTGCGGCCAGAACTCGTAATGCACCTTGCAGCCAACTTCGTTCCTGAGGGCGGATCCTGGTCAGAGCCTGTAGGTGAAAGAAGACACACCAAATTACAGAAGCCCCAACGAAGCCCCAAGACACAACCAAGCAGCTCAACCAGAGCCAGCAAAAAAAACAGCAAAAAAACAGAAACCGAAGCCCGACCAAACGATTGAGGGCCCACGCTGTCCTGGGGGTGCGCAGCACTGCTGGGGCTTGGTGCTGCTGGTGGGCTGTCTTGCTGTTCAATGTCGTACTGCTGCAGCCCGTCGTGCCGTACAGAGATGTGCAGCTCCGCCGTGCTGTTCATCGGCATGCGCTCGGAGTCGAGACGATGGTATCTGTCGTGCTACGTGTACTCTGCTGTCATGGTCGCGGGTGCGGCACTCCGCCATGGTGCAGCGTCGGACTGCTGGAGTCTGTCGTGCTGCACGCCGTCGTACTGCACGCCGTCGTACTGCAGCAGCCCATTGTGTAGCTCAAGATCGTGTTGCTGGTATTTGTCGCGCTGTGTGCCGGCGGATGCCAGAAACAAGAATGCTGTAATCCGTCAAGCCGTCCCCGGGAGGGCGTTGGTGCCGGCGTAAGCGCTGGCTTGGTGCTGGCGTCGGTGATGACGTCAATGCTTGGGTAGGCACCGGTGTTGGTGCCAACGTAGGCGCTGGCCTTGGGGCTGGCTTCGGTGCTGGCGTCGGCGCTGGTGTAGTCGCTGGCGTTGGTACCGGCGCAGTCGCCGGGGTTGATGCTGGCGTCGCTGCTGGCGCCGGTGCTGGTGAAGGCGCCCACTTCGGTGATGCCGTCGGTGCTAATATCGGTGCTGGTCTAGGCGCTGGCGTTGGGGCCAGCGCATGCGCCGGTGTCCGTGCTGGCGTCAGTGCTGGCGTCGACGCTGGGCTAGGCGTTGGCGGTGGTGCCGACGTATGCGCAAGCGTTGATGCTGGCGTCGGTGCTGGCGTTGGTGCTGGCGTAGGCGCTGGCTTGGTGCTGGTGTGCTGGCATTGGTGCTGGCGTAGGCGCTGGTGGCCGTCGCACTGCTCGTGCCACTCTTGGATGTCGAAGCCGAAGTGGCATATCGCTTGGCCTGGTGCTGGCGTCGGTGCTGGCGCTGATGATGGCGTAGGTGCTGGCGTTGGTGCCGGCGTAGGCGCCTACTTGGTGATGGCGTCCGTCGATGCTGGCGTTGGTGCTGGCGTAGGCGCCGGTTTGGTGCTGGCATCGGTGCTGGCGCTGATGCTGGCATCGGTGCCAGCGTTGGCGCCGGTGTAGGCGCCAGCGTTGTTGCTGGCGTCGGTGCTGGCGTCGGTGCTTGTGTAGGCGCTGGCGTTGGTGCCGCCGCAGGCGCTGGCGTTGGTGCTGGCGTCGGTGCTGGCGTCGGGGCTAGTGTAGGCGCTGGCGTTGGTGCCGGCGTGGTCGCCAACGTTGCTGCTGGCGTCGATGCTGGCGCCGGCGCCGGTGGAGGCGCCAACCTTGGTGCTGGCGTCGGTGCTGCCATCGATGCTGGTGTAGGCGCGGGCGTTGGTGCCATCGCATGCGCCGGCGTTCGTGCTGACGTCAGTGCCGGCGTCGGCGCTGGCGCTGGTGCAGAGGCTGGCGGTGGTGCCGGCGTATGCGCATGCTGGCGTCGGTGCTGGCGTCAGTGCCGGCGTAGGTGCCGGCTTGGTGCTGGCGCTGAAGCTGGCGTCGGTGCTGGCGTTCGTGCCGGCGTAGTCACCGGTGGCCGTCGTACTGCTCGTCGTCGTGCTGCTGCGCGGGGGGGGCGTAGCCGAGGAAGGTGAAGGCGAGCAGGACGTAGCGGAGGAAGGAGAATGTGAACAGGATGAGGTCGGCGCGGGGCTGCGGAGCCCACTGCAGCTCTAGTTGGCCTGGAGGCCCGCCCTGTCCAGCACCCGAATGGCGCGAGGATGCCCTGACACCAGGTCCCGCACGGCTTGATGCAAAGCCTCGCGTGCCATGGCTGGCGTACGCCGGGTGGAGTGGCGCCACCAGTTGTGCACCTTGTACACAGCATAGACACATGCTGACAGGATAAGCCTTGCTGCGGCGAGCCTTCGCTGTCCATGCCCCCGAGGAGCCTCACCTGCCTGAGCTGCAGGTACACCGTGGCCTCGTTCCCGACATTGTAGGTCGAGAGCGCGCGCCCGGACTCCATCAGCTTTCCAGCGTAGGTCAGACGTTGTTGGTCTGTCTGGATGCCTTCCTTGTCCTGGATCGCGCTCATGATGGAATCGACCATGCCGTCCGCCAGGACATCCAAGCAGATGGACTTCCGGCCCGGTAACTCCACGAAGACTGCAAGCCTCCTGTCGCGGGCTTCCGCACATCCTGCTGGTGCTGATGGGTGAGACGGCTCTGCTGCTGCTGCTGCTGCTGCTGCTGCTGCTGCTGCTGCTGCTGCTGCTGCTGCTGCTGGTTTCCGTTGTCGTGCTCCTCGAAGTGCATCTGGTCGCGCTCCTGGCTGTCTGTGACGAGCTGCTGTTCACCGTCGCGCAGGTTGCGGTCATGCTGCTGACTGTTCTCGTCGCGCTGTTCATCGACGTGGATCTGGGCCCATTCTTGGATGTCCGAGTCGAGCTGGTGCTCTCCGTCGAGCGGCGTGAGGTCCAGCTGCTGCCGGTCCTCGTCGCGCTGCTTCTCGACGTGGGTCTGGATCCCTTTCTGGGCGTCTGTGTCAAGCTGCTGCTTGCCGTCGTGCGACTTACGGCCATGCTGCTGCCGGCCCTCGTCGCGTCGCTCCTCGACGTGGGTCGGGTCCCACTTGAGGATGTCCGAGCCGCGCTGCTGCTCGCCGTCGCGCGGCTTGAAGTCCTGCTGCTCCTGGTCCTCATCGCGCTGCTTTTCACCGTGCTGGTCCCATACCTGGTTGTCCGAGTTCTGGTGCTGGTCGCCGTCGTGCGGCCATTTCTGCTGCTGCAGGTCCTCGTCGTGTTGCTCGTCGACGTGGTGTTTGACCCGTTCCTGGCTGTCCGTGTCAAGCTGCTGCTCGACGTCGTGCACGTCCTGGATGTTGCGGCTGTCGTGGTTGTGGTAATATTGGTTGTCGTAGGCGTCTAGCAGCATGCCGACGACGGAGTGCCCTCCCAACGCGGCCGAAATTCTCGGCAATAGCCCCGGGCTCGCCCCGGGGAGTTGCTGCTGGCGCAGGTCGGAGGTGGGAGTATCAATGCTGGCGAGGGTGATGGCGATGGTGCTGCCGACGTGGGAATCATGGTGGCTCGTTTCGAGGTCGTGATCGTCGTGGGCGCCGTGCTGCTGGCCCCAGTCCTGGGCGCCCGTGTCGAACTTCAGCTCACCGTGGTGCGGCGTGCGGTCATGCTGCTTGCGGTCCTCGTCACGAGGTTCGTCGGAGAGCTGCTCCTCGACGTGGTCCTGCCTCTGCTGGTCCTCGTCGTGCTGCTCCTGGACCTCGTGGATGCCGCGGTGGGTGTCATGGACACCTGTATCGTCCTGGTCGTCGAGGATGCCGTGGTGGATGCTGTGCTGGATGTCCTGATCCTCGTGGGTGCCAGGATGGGCGCCGTCCTGGCCGCCTTGGGCGCCTCGGCCATCCTGGACATTACTCCGGGCGTCCTGGCCCACGGTGGTCTCGATGTCGTGGTCGTCGTAGGCGTGGCGACCGCCGTGGTCGGCGTGCACCTCGTCGACGCCCTGACCGTCGTGGATCTGGAGGCTGAATGGGCCCTCATCATCATCATCATCATCATCATCATCATCATCATCATCATCATCATCATCATCATCATCATCATCATCATCATCATCATCATCATCATCACCACCACCATCATCATCATCATCATCATCATCATCATCATCACCATCAGCATCATCATCATTATCAGCCTCAGCATCAGCCGCATCATCATCAGCCTCAACATCAGCATCATTATCATCACCAGCGTCACCACCATCACCATCATCACCATCACCATCATCACCATGGTCATCAGCAGTATCATCACCATCACCATCAGCGTCACCATCAGCATCGCCACCATGGTCAACATAACCATCGCCATCATTACCATGAACCATCATCATCATCATCGTCACCATCACCATCACCACCACCATCATGATCATCACCATCATCATCACCATCATCACCATCACCATCACCATCATCATCATTATCATCATCACCACCATCATCAACTGTTCCTCATTGTCCTGCCTCCCCATTCTCTTGTTTCTGCCCCTTGCTCGTCACCCTCCCTTCTCCCCTCTCCGCCGCCTCGGAGGCAACGGCGGGTGTCCCCTCCAGCTTGTCGGGGACCAGCGCCACCTTGCCCGCAGGCGCCTTCGCCAGTGCCGCCACATGACGACGCAGGTGCCGCCTGACCGCAAGGGGCGGAGTACAGCAGGAGAACAGCACTGATCGTTGTGATCGTTGTCGCTGTCGTCATCGTTGTTGTCCTTATCGCTGTTGTCGCTGTTGCTGTCGGTATCGCTGTTTTATCGCTGTTCTCGCTGCTCTCGCTGCTGCCGTCATCGCTGCTGTCGTTGTCGCTGTTGCCGCTGCGATCGCCATCGCTATCGCGCTGCCGCTCGGCGAGCGGCGGCCGTCGAGCGGCCCCAGGGGAGGAGGAGGAGGAGGAGGAGGAGGAGGAGGAGGAGGAGGAGGAGGAGGAAGAGGAGGAGGAGGAGCAGCCTCGGGGAGACCGCAGGCTGGACGCCGGCGGCGCTCGGGCAGCGGGCGAGGGCGGGGAGCACACGAGGGCCTCGGGGCCCTGGAGCTGGCCGGCCTCGGCGAGCTCTCCCCCGACACGCCGACCGCGATTCTCCCGAGAGCGGCCGGGAAGCGGCGGGCGGCTCTCGGCGGCGGGCGAGGGAATCGGCCGACGATCCTCCTCCTCCTCCCTCCTCCTCCTCCTCCTCCTCCTACTCTTCCTCTTCCTCCTCCTCCTCCTCCTCCTCCTCCTCCGCTATTTTCCGCTATTTGACGCGCCGTAAGGGTCACAGCCCTGAAGCGCAGCGCGGCGGCCGTCGGCCGCCGACAGAGGGGGGGTGAGGGAGGCCCGTTTCAATCCTGGACAGCGAAGGCCTGGAGGAAAGGGGAAGGGAAAAAGACGGGCCCGTTGGGCCCAACACCGGTCGGCGAAGGGCCCGAGGGGGCGAGGGCCCGCGGGGCCCTGGCCTTTGGCTCGGCGAGGGCCCACCCGCCTCGGTGGGACCTAGCTGAGCTCGTCCGCGTGGTCGGGGGCGGCGGGGCCCTCAGGTCGCGTCGAGGGCGGCGACCCCGCCCGCCCCTGGCCTCCGTGATGCGCTCCCTCTGGTCCAGCGCGAGGTGCTCCGCGTCGCGCGTGCGTCCGCGGTGTGCACCTGCCGGTCCAGCGCCTGGAGCTCTGCGTTGCCGCAAGTCTGCGGGGCTCCGCTCCTGGCCTCCCAGCTGTACGCCAGCTGGCCAAGCGCGCGGAGCTCCGCGTTGCCGCCGGCCTCCATGATGCGCTCCCTCTGGCCCAGCGCGAGGTGCTCCGCGTCGCCGTGCGTCGCCGGGTGCACCTGCTGGTCCAGCGCCAGGAGCTCTGTGTTGCCGCCGGCCTGCGGGAGCTTCAGCGCTTGGCCTCCCAGCTGTGCGCCAGCTGGCCCAGCGCGCGGAGCTCCGCGTTGCCGTCGGCCTCCATCGCCTGGCCCCCAACGCGAGGAGCTCCATGGTGCCGTCGGCCTCCGCGATGGCCCCCAGCGCGAGGAGCTCCGCGATGCCGTCGGCTTCCGCATTTTCTCCTTCTGGCCCAGCGCGAGGCGCTCCGCGTCGCGGTCGGCCTCCTCGATGTGCCAGTGAACGCCTGCCTCGTTGCTGGTGGGCTCTTCGTCTTGTCACAGTCACCTTGGTCAGGAACTGGTTGACTGTGTTGGGCTCTTCTCCTGGTACGGGTCTCAGCCGATGAAGTAGTTGTCGTGCTGGTTAAGGTCGATGGGGGTCGGCTTGTTGCTGGTAGGTGGAATAGATTGCGGGCGCACTCTGGCCTCCATGCACCGACTTCAAGCAGGGTTCATGGCGGCCCTGCCTCGTCCCGCTATGGCTAGGGGTCACGGTGCCCTCGGTGGGGGCGAACCCCAGGCCAGGTGATTCTTCTGCTGTCGATGAGGAAGGTCAACGCTGCCCTATGCTACGCCCTTGGGCGCTCGGGAGCTCCGTCTCCGCCATGGGGATGGTGGGGGTGGCGAGCTAGGGCGGACCGCGGGGGCGCGGGCAGTACTCGTCCTGCCCCCCCCCTGCCCCTCACCATCCCCCCTGGTGGGCGCGGGCAGTCCTCGTCCTGCCCCCCCGCCCTTCGAGCCCGTCTCGAAGTTTGATCCTTGCCTCACCAGGGCAACGTTGACTGGTACTTGGTGCAGTTGGGGTCATCGGGCTGGTACTTCTGAGCCCTGGCTGTACGGCGGCCGTGTCCGTCACTATGCAAAACGTGGCGACGTGAGCCTGGGGTGTTCCCTCGCATTCGGGGCTTCCCCAGGTCTTGCGTCCTGACAACTTGTGCAAAACTTGGCGACGTAGCCTGAGGTGTTCCCACGCATTCGGGGCTTCCTCAGGACTTGCGTTCTGATTCTTTTGTACATGTCGTCAAGGCGCTTCGTCACGATCCTCGTTGTCAGCCTGTGCCCGAACAGCTCCTGTCGAGGTGGTGGCCCTGCCGATTGCCTTGTCGGGTCGGTCCTGCCGGGCCCACTCCCTTGCCTCTTCCAGCCAGGTCGGTGAGCCGTTCCGCCTGCTGCCTCGATAGTAGTCCTGACCCATCTCCCTGGTCTTGTAGTGGTCGAGCGGCTGGAAGAAGTGGGCCACGTCGTCGTCGATGTGCCACCCCTGGACGTCGTTGGGCGACTCGCCAAAGCGCCACCTGATCTGCTTCACCAGTGCGGTCGCGATGGCCTGGCACATCCTGTTCGGGTACTCCTTGGCCGGCGCGGTGCGCCACTGGCCTTCATCGTTGATGCCTGCCAGCTCCGCATGGTAGGAGGCCGTGTGAAAGCACCTTCCACTTCCAGGCAGTCTCCTGATTTCTGCTCGGAGGGTTGGTAGGGATACCGCCATCAGGCTTGTGGATTTCCTCGAGCGCGCTCCACAGGTGCACTGGTCGAAGGTGATCAGCTCGACTCCCTGCTGGTTCAGGAGATGGCGCATCTCGGGAAGCTTCCAGGAGCTGGCGAAGTGCTCCTCGATGGGCTCAGACGGGTGCTCGAGCATGCCTGGGACTCCCAAATTGAGGCACATGTACATAAGTTCCAGCTGTGTCCTGTATAGGCGGTTGCCTGTCGCTACTTGCTCCATCTCTGGGCGGGAAAGGTAGCGAAAGCCCCACAGGCTATTGCCGCCCCTTAGGGGTCTTGGTGGCCGACCCCTGCAGCCATTGGGAGGCAAGTGGCGCGCTCGGCTCCAGGTCTCGCACGGCGGTCCGCCAATGACTCCTGCAATTCTTCCTGCTTGTGCCATGTCTCGCCACTTGCTGACTGCGACCTCAGATGTCAGGTCGCCGAAGGTCGGGTCGTTGGCGATGTCCAGGCTGAGCATGTGTATGTCGCAAGCAGCCCGACTGCTGAGGCGGTCAAACCAGTCCTGAACATCTCCGTCTCGGCGACGGCCGCTGAATAGATGCAGCACATATAACGTCCGAGCTGGTCTGGGCCTCGGTACAGCGGCTGGCGGCGGTGGCTGCTCCTCAATGAAGGGCAGCTCAAGGCTCTCGTAGTGGCCGCCGTTGCTGTCGTCGCTGTCCTCGTCCGTATGTATTTCTGGAGGGCGAGCAGGGACTGCAGGCTTCTCTGCCCAGTCGATAGGCCTGCCCGCCCTTCTGTTCGCCTGCTGCTGGTCGCGGACAATTTGCTGGCTGTGCTGCAGCTCGGCTCTACTTAGGATTGCTGGGCGCGTCTTTCTCCAATGTCGAGCGCACTTGCGCACTCTCAGCAAGTGTTTGACCAGCCTGTTTGTAGTATGATAACCCATGCCGCATCCGTAGCAGACCGAACCAGTTGCCCACGAAATAGGATGACCCGACGAGGTGTGGTCCTTGGTGATGTGTGCTCGTAGCACTGCTGCGCTGGCTTCAGTACGTCCACAGTGGTAGCATAAATACTTGCGCTGATGCTCGAAATGCTGGTCTTGGAAGGACGAGATGGCTTCCGTGTTGGTCCACCGTTGGAGTCGAAGCCTCCATCGAGCTTGGTGGTCGTGGTCGTACTGGCGAGCTTTGCCACGTTGGCATGCTTTCTTTACTGCGCTGAGGTAGCTTTGGTAGTCGTTCCTGGCCCAGTCCTTCCAGTCCTCGAGCGTGTATGCTCCACCACGCTCGTCAGGTCCTGTGTGGTCGCGGACCCAATCCAGGTCTCGGCGGAGCAGTGCCACCCAGCCGTAGCTACCGTCCCATGCTTGGCTAAGTAGCCGGCGGAGGTGCAGGGGTCCCCAGTTGAGGCATCTGCCAAATAGCCGTAACCTCTCAAGTCGCAGGACTATCTCTGGGGGCAGCTTGTCGACTCCTTCGAGGATCTGGGTGTTCGTTACTTCCTTTTTCTGTCGTACTTTCCAAGTGATCCTCTGCGCAGCAGCGTAGTTGACGATGTACTGGTTGTTGAAATTCCTGGCCTGGCCTGCGGTGAGTTCGGGCCAGGTAGACGCATTGTATAAAAGCTGGGATAGCACCACGCTGTCGGCTAAATAGGCCTTGTCTTTGATTGCCAGCTCTGATCGCCTGTGGACTTCGCGATGGAGAGGCCTCGTGGATGTCGCTGCAGTGGCTACCTTCACTGCGACATCCACCCCAGGGGATGCATTGTCGGTCACGTAGGTCCCGAGGAGCTTGTGGTGACGAACCACCTCGACGTAACTCCCTGCAAGGGGGACCTCGATCCTCGGCACTCCCTCGGAGTAGAAACTGGCCCGCGCTTGCCGGCTCCCAGGCCCACTGAAGTCAATCATCACCTTGGTCTTGGTGAGTTGCAGCTGGAGGCCGAAGGTGCTGGCGGCGCAGTAGACGGCTTCGCAGAACTCGGTGGCCTCATGCTGAATGTGGTCGGGGCTGGTGAACACGTGCATGCCCGTTAGGTCATCGACAAACGATAGGCCATGTGGTTCTTGCTCCTGGAGTGGCCCATCTGTGGGGTCGTTGTCGCATGCGAAGCTGCTGTCAAGAGGCTTGCCCTGAGGTCGTAGCCCTCGCTGCGCAAGGTAGTTGTCGATCATGCGGTGGACTCGGCCGAATAGCAGATTGAAGTCCGCGTCGGCCAGGGGCACGCCAGGCCTCGTGCCCTTGTGCGGTGCCATAAGGTTCTGGGAAAACCTGTGTGATGTCCACCTGTTGCGATATCCTTCTGCAATGAGGGCAGCCAGGTGGGAGCCGTCCAACACTGTGTCGAGTATCCCTGGGTTGGCCATGAGGTGCTCCAGCTGCGGCTGGGCCCACAGGGGAACCTCGAGGTTCTCTAGCACCTCCTGGACTTCGTCCTCTTCACCTGGGATACCATGCACCAGTTGGACTACAACCGAGTAGAAGGCCTCCTTTAAGTCGTAGCAGCTTATCATGGAGCACTTCCCTTGGGCCTGACTTCTCTCGGTGAAGAGGCGTGCTGCAAGGACCGCCATGTCCGCCCCTCGCTTGGGCCGGCCGCCAACCTGGATGTCCTCCAGCGCTATGGCGAGGGTAGTGTTGAGCATGGTCCTTAGGTATTTGTGGTGGTGCTTGCCCAGAACGTTGTTCAAGAGGATCTCGCGGTAGGCTTGGAGGTACCTTGGGTCGCCTTTTCCTTTGGGAATTGCGACCAGGTCTCCACCCTTGAAGCTCAGCGGCTCTCTCACGGTGGTCGCCACCTTGGTGAAGAGGGGGTGCAGTAGCCTCGCTGCCTCCGTGGGGGCCGCCCTGAGGACAGCGTTCGTGAGCCCGTCGGGGCCTCCTTGCGTCCCAGCCTTGGCCGCAGCGAACTGGGCCTGACAGACGGCCAGGGGCATCACCATGGAGAGATCCAGCATGCCGTCGAAAGGCCTGATCTTGCTGTCGTGATTGTACTTGTCAGCAAGATCATCCGCTGTCACGATCTTCCCCGCCTGTATCTTCGCGAAATGGTTGAGCTCCTGGTCCGCCATTTCCTGGGAGTTGTGGATCACCTCTCCATCCTTGTCGAGCCGCATGGGCTTTCCTGCTGGGAATTTCGCCTTCCTCCCTCCATACCTTAGTAGGTCTCGGTAAGCCTTCCACTGGGCCGCAGCGTCGTTCGCAGCTGAGGCGGAGGACGCTGTCGAGGCAAGCCGACTGAGGAATGCGCTTCGGTCCTTCTCGACGGCCGCGGCAACTATGGGCCCAGACCTGGTGAGGAAGGAAAGGATGGCCATGGCGTAGTCCATGGGCGAGATTGTCCAGTTCAGGAGGAGGTGCGCGTAGTGGTGGATGTCGTGGATGGTGCCGTCGTCGTCGCCACGCTCTCTGCTCCAAAGAGAGAGTGAGTCCCCTACTTCGCCTGCACAAAGAGAGTGGGCGTGGGCTACTAGTCGTCCAGGTCGGCCGTCGTGGGCTTCTCTTCTGAGTACTGCACGGTGGACTCTGAGTGCGAGGCGCCTGGCTCGGATCAGGCCCATGGTAGTCTTGGTGACGTAGGTCTTCCTCGTTGCCCTGGAGGCCTTGCCGAAGGCCTGGATGGCCGCGTCGTTAATGACCCTGATGGCCTCCTCGCAGTGGGTGTTGACGTCCACCTCCCACGGGATGATCGGGGCCTGCTTGAGGATCTCCTTGAAGCTGGCCTTGGCGACGTCGTTGTTCAAGTTGGTCAGATCGGGCCTCGGTCCTGAGGCCTTGGTGGTCTTGCAGACGACCCACTTGAGGCTGGCTAGCACTGGTATGTGGTCTTGTGCAGCTGTGCCTCGGTCCAGACCTGGCTCCGTGCTGCAGCTCGCGACGTATGGGGCGATCGAGGAGTTCAGCAGGATGTAGTCTATCCTGTGGTGCTGCCCCTTCGATCCGACGTGCGTATATGAGTTGCTGCCTGGATCCCTCGTGGTGTTGATGACCTCCATGTTAGTGTCGGCAGCGAAGCTGATGATGTGCTTGCCGTTGCCGTCGGTCACTTCTGGGTACCCACTGGTGCCAACTCCTGGGGACTCGTAGTCGCCAAGACGCCCGTTCAGGTCCCCCATGAAGATGTCCACTCGGTACTTGTCGGACAATCGCTGAGCAGACTCCCAGAATTCTCTCTTCTCCGCCGCGTGGGAGTCTTCGTGGGGTGCGTATGCAGATGCGATAACCATATCTGTGCCTGCAACGCGGGTCTTGATGATCAAGAGCCTGTCGTGCTGGTGGAGGACGAGGGTGTCTTTGGCACTTAGGTACTTCGCTGCCCCACTCGTGCTGATAGGTTGGGAGACGTTGAGCCAGATGTCGCACCCTCTGTTCTGCTGCATGTGGCCTGATGAGTAGCAGACGTATTCACCTACATTGCGGACGTCTCCTTCGCTCTGGGTCTCCTGCAGGGCGACGACGTGCAGGCCCATGTCAGCAGACTGTGCTGCTAGGTGCGTGACCTTGGAGAGGCTCTGCTTGCTTTTGCCGGCCGCCTTGCCTTTGCCCGGCTTGAAGCTCACGGTGGCCTTGAGTGACCTGCAGTTGTACGTGCACAGGTTCACGTTGAGGTCGGCCTTGATGGTGATAGTGCTGATGGGCCTCTGGATCGCTCCTGGGGCTGCCTGCGGCTGAGTGGCCTCCATGATGAAGTCTTTATGCCGCAGGGGCGGGTATGCGGCCTTGACCGCGTCTGGCGCTGATCGCAGCCATTCCCAGGAGAGGAACTTGTTGTGGGCGATCGCCTGTACAGCTGCAATGTTCGGGTCCATCAGGTCGCTGGCCGAGGCTTGATCTGCTATCCCATCAGCGAGCTCGTTCCAAGGGTGCCCGATGTGCGAATTAATATGGTGCCACTGGGTGGGTCGGGCTTGTTGGAGGAGGCCTGCAAGTGTGCGAATGACTGCCCCCAACCTCGGATGTACGTGGCATTGGGCTTCGCCTTTGGCCAGGTTGATGACGTTGAGGGCGTCAGGCGTGATCTCGATGGGCGCGTCGGTATCTTGACCAAGGGCCCACATCAACGCCCAGAGTACTGCCGTGAGCTCCGCTGTGTATGCCGTCACCTTCTCGTTGTTGGCCATGTCGTCTAGGGTTTCGGTGACTTTGCCAGCAATGAAACCCCGAAAGCCGAACGGGCCTCGCAGGTTGCTCCCGTCGTCGTACTCGTCGACAATGACAACTGCCCAGGCGGCTGAGTGTGGGATGCCGTTGTAGCTGCCGTCCGTGTAGATGTGTGTCCGCCTGGTCGGCAGCTCTCGTGATGGGCACATCTCCAACGCCAACCTTGCCATGCTGTGCAGGGTCGTAGTGTCGACGTCGTCGCAGACGTTGACTCGGCCTCGGCCACGAAGGATCTCGGCTACTGGGTCCTGGCTGAGAACTGGCAGCACTGTCGCTTGGCCTCTTTCTCGTGCTGTCGTGGTGGGGATCTGCGGTCGCCTTCGGCCACGCCTGGCCCTCTCTGCATTGATATACTCGGGAGAGTACTCGATGTCGTGGCCTGGCGCCGGCCCCATGCCCTGTGGAACTGGACTTGGTGTAGTGGTGATGTGTGCTGGAGGTGGCCGTGGCGTCGGAGAACGCGTTGGTGGGGCTGGTGATATGGCTCCAGCCTGAGACGCACTCCGCTTCACGGGTTGTAGTGATGGCATTTGGCTCCCCTCATCGTAGTTCAAGTTGTCCGATCCAGCCCGCGCGGCCTGACTGAACAGGGGCTCGCGTGATTGGGCGTGGAGCATGCTGTCACGTAGACGATGAGGTTCGCCATCCAGGGCGTCTGGGTGACTGGTAGCACCCGTGCCGTGGTGGGAGCGCGCTGATGCCGAGGGGAGCGTTGGCTTCCAACTGCTGGACAGCGGTGAGCTGCTTGGGTCCGTCGGGACTGGGGGCACTGGTGCTGCTGGTTGAGCTGCTGAGCCCGACGGGTCTGGATCCACCGCCAGGTCGTGGTACTTGTTGTGGCTGCTGCTGTTGTCCCGACGACTGTGGCTCTCCGCAGCACGCCGTGCGCGGCGTGCACTCCGCTGGGCTGTTCGGAAGGCTGCGACTGCGCACGCTTGCCTCCAGTTCTCGTAGCACTGCTCCATGCCATCCTCTGCCTCGCTGCCAGCCGAGTTTTGACCGTCGAGAAAGGTCCTTTCCACGTTCTCGATCTCATGGACTCGAATGGCGGAGGGTTGCACACTGATTGCAAGGGCAGCCGGTAACGCATCCTTGCAGCCATCTTGGTGGCTTGTGACCTGGAGTGCTGACAGATTGGCGGATGCCTCACTCCTCCCTGGTAGTGGGCCGCCTTGGTTGCCGCCTAGCGCCCCTCGAGACGCGGCGGGCGGCCCTCGTGTCGGCCGTGGTGGTGTCACGTTGGCCCCTCGAGACCCAGGTGACTGATACCGCTGCTGATGCTGGCTGCTGCGATTGGGAGTGGCCATCCCGCTGCCGATGCCCGTTGCGGTATCACATCTGTTTGGAGTCGTGGCCCCTCGAGACCCTGGACTCCTGGGAGTACCTGATCTGGTGCGCGAGCTTGTCGGAATCTCCGCTGGTCCATTTGTTACAAGACGGCTGTCGCAATTACCTCCAGGGCCCGCCGTGCTGTCAAGCCTCTGGTGGTGGGTAGGTCGAGCATCGTAGTGGAGGACCCCACTGCCGTGCTGCGGGCTTTGGGCCCCAGCTGCTCTCCCCGATGCTGCCCAGGAGATCGATGCTGTCGAACTGATCGGAGAGCGTGACGAAGTCCCACATCCGTCGTGCTCTGCCCTGTTGGACTCATCGGCCGCCTCCTGGCGATGAATTCTGTCATGCATAACCTGAAGCCTGGCGGCGCTGCTAGGCCCCCTCCCCCCCTCGGGGGGATTCGGCGGGCGCTGCTGCTGCCTGCACCTCGGCTCCAGGAGTTGCAGGAGGGGAGGGGGTTGCTGTGCCCCTTGTCTCGTCCCTCCTGCGGGCCACTCGGCCACGAAAACGGGCTATGCCTGACTCTCCAGAGTCTACCCGCTGACCCTTGTGGGCCTGGCTGATGTCTTCTCCTGGAAATGCGGGCACTGGACCGAACGCCTCTTCGAGGGCTGCAGCTGCGGCGGCGGCTGAGGTGTGCTGGCGCGTCATGATGTCGATGCCCTCATACTGCCTCTCGATGCTGGCCCCTGCCGCCTCCGCGTTCTGCTGGGACGCAGGGGGAGGGGTCAATACGAAGCTGCCGGCTCCCTCTCCACCACCGTGGCCGCGCTGCTCCTCATGCCCGAATGGAACTGTGGGCGTGAGTGACATCTCGCTGAGTGGCGCTGGCGATGCTGGAATGAGGATTACCTGAGATGCTGTCGGGGTGGGAGGGTCTCCTTGCTCTGCTGGTACCGAGCTAGCCCTTGACGTGGATGCCAGGTCTGTGTCTGCCTCGTGCTGCGTGATCCCCCTCATCTCATCACCCTCCTCGGGTGTGGGGTGATCCTGGCTCCAGGGCGGCCACCTGGCGGGGTAGATCATCGGCGCGTGCTCCGAGCCGTCGTCCTCCGCTCGTGAGTCCTGCGTGCCCGCTGTGCCGAACTGGGTCAGGGGGGCCTCCTCGTAGTAGCGCCTTTGGATCTCCTTCGCCTCGTGGTCCCTCACTACGGACTCCAGCTCCTCCTCCATCTGTACGGCTTCCCATTGTGCTTTCTCCTCAGCAGCTTGTCTGTGCAACTCATCTTGTTCGCGCTCGTATCTTTCTGCCTCCTCGTGCGGGTCTGGCCTGTCGGGGCTCCTGGACCTGTCACGCTCTGTGAGGAGGGCCTCGCCTTCGTCGGTCTGGCGGGTTGCTGACCTGGCTGACCTATTTGATGCTGGCCTCCGAGGGGAGGGGCTGCTCTGCCTGCGGCCCCTGTTGGCTGGGCGCTCCTCAGCTGCACCAATTTGGAAGGTCGCAACGGGGGGCTCAACTGTGGCGGCCGCTGCCTCGGCTGCTCCTCTGGCTTCCTCGTACAGGTCGGCGGCCTCCTGGTAGTCGTCCATGGACTCTTGGGACGTTGGGAGGTGGCCCCCTTGGACGAGATGATGAGCTGCCCTCTTGGTGAAGTCGTAGCCCTCCTGTCCGTATTGCCTCATCTCGGCGTACAGGTTGACCATGGCCTTGCGTTCGCGTTCCCTGCTGGCTGCGATGGCTTCCAGGCTCTGCATCCTCAGCTTTAGCTCCTCTGTCTCCGACGCGCCCTGCTGCTCCTTCTTTGCGATGGCGTCTAGCTCGGTGTGCAGCGTGCTGGAGCGCTGGAGGCTTTCTTGCAGCGCAAGGTGGATAGCCTCCTCCCTGCCCGTCCTCTGCTGGCTGGCGAAGTCTTCCATGGCGGAGGCCTCCTCCATGCTGGCGATCCTGAAGGTGAGGGCCTGGGCGAGCTCCTCCTCGAGCGCCTGCTCCTGCACCTCTGCGTTGGACTTTTGCTCGCTCAGCTGCACCGCGTAGCTGCTCAGTTCCTGTCGCAGGCTCTCTGTGTGCAGCTGCAAGTCATGTGCGTTCGCCTCTTCTATCATGACTTGGCGGGTGAGACTCGCCCTTATTCCCTCAACACTGCCTTCGAGCTCTGCCCGCATTGCCTCCTTGTCCTTCAGGCTGGCCTTCGCGATCTCCTCCTCCTCTGCTCTAGTCCTTAGCAGGGCGAACTGCAAAGCCTGCACCTCATGCGGGACTTGCCGCTCCTTGTTGGCGCTTCTCAGCTCCGCTGCTCCATGGTATGCCACCTGTGCTGCACGCTGCGCAGCGCCCGCCTCAAGCTTGGAGTACTGCTGTAGCTCGTGTATGCGGGCTTCAGCTGCCTCGAGCTCGTTTTTGGTCTGCTTGAGCCGCTCCTGCTGCCGTGCTGCTGTCTGGACGATCCCTTGCAGCCTGGCCGCCTCTGCCGGCGGGAGGGCCCCTTTTCCCTTGGCGTTGGCAACCACTTGAGCCTGGGCGATTGCCTGGACCCTGGCTGATTCGGCGGCAGCTTCTATCTCGAGGGCGTGGTTCTTTTTGGCCTCCTGGAGCTTCTCTTCCATGACCAGCTCCTGCCTGGCGAGCTGCTGCTTGAGATTACCCGCTGCAGCTGTCGCTTGGGCGCTCTCATGCTGGGCCCGTCGCAGTGACTCTTGTGCCTCGGCTCTTGCCCTCATCAGGTCTTGGTAGGCGCCGTCCTGGGGTTGCGGCTTCTCCCGGTGCTCCGCTCGTACTTGCTCGAGCTGCTCATGCAGGTGATTTGCCCGGTGTGTCGCGGCTTCCGCCTCTGCCTTGGCTTGAGTGAAGGCTGTGTCATGGCTGATTATTCTGGCCTCCATCTGCGTCGCGAACTCGAGCTGCTCGTATTGTTGCCTCTTGATATCATGTCGGAGGGCCTTGTGTTGCTGCTGTTGCTGCTGCTGGGCTGCGCTCTCCGCTGCGGTGATGCGCTGCAGCTGCTCTGACTCCTCCTTGAGTGCCAGCCTCAGTTTCGCCTGCTCGCCATTGTGGCGGAGTGCTTGTTCACGAGCAACCCTCCTTACTTCCGCCAGCTCGGCAGCGAACTCTTGCTCGGCTTCGGCATGGCGCTGCTGCTGGTGGGCCCGCTCCGCATTTGCCTTGGCCACCTGATCTGCGAAGCCTCTGGTTGCGCTGCCTGCCGAGCTGGCTCTTGATCGTGGCGATTGCCCCACCACTCCTGATGGCCAAGCTGGGAGTCCGTCACCAGGTGCTTCGCTGTTCAGGCGCCTGTCAATCACAGCCTTGTGGAAAGCATCCCAGCTCGGTGCCAAGCCGAACCCGTCCGCGTCCCAGTCGCCCTCGTCGTCCGCCGCGCCGCCGTCGGCGAGCACAGCCCTCACGTCGGCGATGTTGGACTCGAGCTGCCTCAACTCCTGCTGCTTGGCCTTGAGGTCGTCCCGCAGCTCGTTCGACTTGGCCTCTAGGGCGATGACTTCGAGTTTGACGGCCTTGCGCCTCTTGCTGAGCACCTGCAGCTGGTCGTTCGGCCTTCTCGTGACCAGCTTCTGATACTTGATGACCGCGATCTCCCTCAACTGCTCTTCAGTGCTGTCCCCCGCGGCCTGCTTGGCAATGATTAGGTCGCCCAGCTTCCTCAGCCTCTGATCGGCGGTGCTCAGGAACTTCTGGATGCCTGCGCGGTCGGCCGGGGGCGCCTGCCACTTTGGGTGGGTGGTGGCCTGGTCCAGCGTGCATGCCGCCACTGAGTCGATGACCTTTTGAGCACGCTGGTCCGCTTTGCTGGAGCTGGCCTGGCCACCCTTGCCCGCCCTGGGCTGCTGCTGCTGCTGCTGCCAGGGAGGCTGACTGGGCTGCTGGTGCTGCTGCTGTGGCCATTGGCGAGGGCTGGCCTGGCCAGAGCGTCGTGGCCGCGACGGCTCCCT